GTGCAAATCTGTGAGAAGTTGCACATGTATGTGTTGGTGCTTCTAGATCAATAGGAGGGCGTGTGTGCGTGCGTGCGTGTGTATGTGTGGCCTAGGGTGGGCTCTTTGACATGACTGGATTCTCTAGACTAATTAGCCTTTAAATTTACCATGCCTGAAGGATGAAGAGGAGAAAGACAGACACTGAAAAGGAGATGAAGAAAGGCGGAGAGATTTCGCTACCCAATATGAGATGCAGATTCAGTGCAGACATGGGGCAAACGAGGACTAAAGACTGCTTGCAGTAGATGTTTTCCAAAAAGTAAAAGTGTATCATCATAAATATCAAAACAAGATGTTTTCATTCCATCTGATTTTTCACTCAAAACTTTTGATTAAATGAAGTGGACCACTGGAGGGATGCAGTTTTCCTTGGCATATAGACGGAAAAACAAGTCTGAACTGGGAGGAGAAGAAGCATGAAGAAAGAACAAAAGCAAAGAGATTAACTGCGCTGAATAGAAGAGAAACTATCTGCTAATTGTGAGTGACCTGCGGAACGGTGAGTTGTTGGTCCAGGCTGTTCACTTTGTGGAAACAAAAAAAATGAGTATAGTTCCCAGCTTCCACCAGTAAACATCTCTTCATTCTCGCCCTTCTTCCCCAGGGACGAGTCTCTTTATCCAAACGAAACACATAATATGAGCTGCTGGGGCCACCCCTGAAGGTCCAGCATAGCCTGCACACCTCCTCCACCTCCTCGCCAATGTTCTCTCTTTGTCTTCATACCCCCTCCTCTGCTAATAGATTCCCTCTCATTACCTCTGGACCACCATCTCCACCTCCATCCCCCATCCAAACACAGAAAGGGCAGTTGCAGATTGACCCACATAATCCTACTTTACCTTCTTCTCACACCAGCCACCGCAGCGGTACACACACACCATCCACCTCCACTCCTACAGTCCTTGCCCCTCCTGTCTCACTTCATTTGGATATTAGAGATATCCGTGAGCCACCCACCTCTCTAACCATGTCCTCTCACCCTCATCCTTCTCCTCCTCCTCCTCCTTTGGATGCTGATCAGTGATTTGATCTGTGATGGCTTGCTTGCATCTCTTTTGCTTTTTGTCTTTCGCACACACATTTACACACACTCCCATGGGACTCTGACAGCATAGGAGCAGATGGGCGGCTGGTGATGACATGTTGTTAAAAATAAAGATTCCTGTTAACCCGTTGTCGGCTTGCACACCCTCTGTCCCTCCCTCATGTCCCCCCATTTCATCTCATCTCTCCTGTCAATCTCTCTCTATCGCTTTTCACACTCTGAATCCCTAATTCTTCCTTTTAGTTTAGCTTGTAACAAACAGGATGGGATTCAAATGCTACAAAACCAACTAACTTTGGCACTGAAAGCATGCAGCTCAAGACCCCCCGACCCCCAGAACATGATATTTAATACATGGCTGCCATAAAGACGTCCCCCCTGCATTATGCATGACTTGTAAGCACACATCAATAATAGATGAAAAGGCCAGTTTTGCAGTTTCTTTTCATGCAATTATGCCAAATGAAATTTTTATTCTCACTTTCTGTTTCTTTTTCTGCGAGTGGAGTTTGTCCTGTGACGATTTCGTGATAAATTATTAAAAGGCAACACAAGGGGGTGGGAGGGATCAAAAGAAAAATTCAGGCCGGTCATGATGGCAGTGAAACAGAGAGAGGATGTGTGTGTGTGTGTGTGTGTGTGGGGAGCTTGTGTCACCCAAGCCTGTTCATCCATTCCAGGTCTGACAGATGTCCTACAGATGTCCATAGTCTGAGGAAAACAGACTACAGCATGATTCTCAAATCAAATTCTTCACCAAAACAGCATAAAAGTTGTTAGAACACAGCTCATACACAATGTTGGAGGGTATGCATTCATTAATCTCTCTAAGGTTAATCACCATCCAACCTTCAAAGGAAGCCGCCATATCGTGCTCTGCCAGATTGCCGACTTTCAAAACTGCAAAGTGGGCCAGCTTATAGAGAATGATACAGAGAGAAAGACTGGTGCCTTTGAAAGAGAGTCCAGTCACTCAAAGGGTCCTTACTTTAAAAAAAAAAAAAAAAGGAAGACCAGTTGTGGGCACTGAAGTGATACATTTATTAATAGTGTTCATGTGCCACATTTTTTATTCCACTTTGAAGTGATGTTGGAGGCAAAAAGAGGCAGAAGGAGACAGGGAGGAAGGGAGAGAGCGGGTCTCTCGGATTCTAGCCTGCGGTCACACAATATTCCCTCTGGGTGGAGTGGGTCCCATTCAGAGCGACCTCAATAGCCCTACACTGAAGTACCTATAGTGAGTGAGTGAGAAAAGGCCCCATCAGAAAATGGAAAAAGGGGAGTTAACACACAGCTCTCTCTATTTTCTGATGATATTGATTAAAGAGCTCAGAGAGACCAGGGTGCCATTGTGTGGAGATAAGAAATCTGGGTGGGGTTGGAGAGCCACTGAGTCTACTGAGACCTGCACTTGACCTGTGGGTGGAGGACAAGAAGCCTCCAATATGGTTGTCTCGTACAGCCTACAGAATAAATATGTCTCTGTCTGGGCTTTGAGTTTACTGCATGTACCCATTGCAAAGTGATGAACCTGTAAAACCAACTCTGAAACTAACAAACTAAGAAAGTGCTGAGACCAACAGTCAAAATACAAGTACAAATAGATGACTGATGTCAGCTATTTAAAGCTGGGAACTGATGGGAACGTTTTTCTTTCTTTCTTTTTACTGATTAATGTTTCAGTTGGTATCAATCCACCTCTTCTTTCTGGGAAAATATGATGCCAGGAGCTAAGCAGGAAGAGTACCAAATGGGGCAAAAGGATGGACAAGTTACTGCCTATAAAATATTTCTTCATTAGTAATGCATCAATTTGCAGTTTAAAAGAAAAGAAAACAAGAAAGGGTGTGTTTATTTGTTCATTTGTGTGCCGGTGAGCAATTTTTCAAGGAGAATCAGGCCAGCAGTTTGCCTGCTTCCCATTTTCATGTTCATGCAGACATGCAATAGCATCAGATAATTACATTAATAGTTTTGCAAGGCACTAAAAACACAAGCTTGATTTAGACGTCCATTTAACCCTTGTATGGTGTTCGGGTCTGTGAGACCCGTGTTCAGTTTTTTTCAAAAGAAAAATTAAACAATTAATTATTTTTTCACGTGTAAATGTGTTGTGTCTTTCCACTCACTCCACTTGATTATAACTGATTTATTTATAACATTTTATATAAAAGAAAAACGAGAAGCACATTAATTCATAAATGTGATCTAACAAAGGTAAAGGGAAAAAAATAACCATGTTTGCTGTTCATATGTCTTGTAATTGGGATGAAGTAAACATCTGTTGAGTAATTTAACATAAAATTGTTTGATAGTGTTAATTTGGAAAGCCAAAACTCTAGCGGGTCCACCAGACCCATGAACACTGGCTGAGTAACAAAAATACGAACACCACACAAGGGTTAAGTTACCAGCAGACAGAAACTGGCTGCAGCTACCTGCCATTTAAACTAGCAACAAGAATAATAGCAATAACAATCTTAAGTTCCATAAAGTTTAAATCGGCCAGGTTAAAAACAAATCCCTGACAGTGTAGTTGCTTGTTAGGGAAAAAATAGCTACAGAGAGAAATATCGATAAAATTGACCATTTTAACATGAAATTTCACTGCGATTTGCTAACTGCTGGAGCCAGCCTCACCTTCATTTTTCAAACTTGGAGGTTGAATCATTTCAGATAGGTATATAATAACAATTAGCAACCAAATTAGGCATTTTTTGGTATATATTCTGTGGTTTGATGTGTCCTTTAATCTGATCATTTCCTTTAATTATAAGAAAATGTCACATTAAAATCAGTTTTTGGAATCTGAAGCCTATTAGAATTCTAAAATTTAATGAAACTCCACAAAATAAATATGAAAATAAAGTTTAAAACCTTATCTCTGAGTAGTACAGCATAACAAAGGATATCGTAAAGTAATTCAACCAATGAACCAAGAGCTACTGCAGCTCTTTAAATAATGAAAATATGGCAGAAAGTGCTGAAATGATTTTATTTGCAATCCAAAGTCCCTTTTCACTTTTTTATTTAACATTTGATATAAACATGCACACTAAATATTTGCATAAATCTATTAAGGGACTGATAAGCTGCTCTCCTGTTTAAATATGTTCATTTAGAGGCAGACTAACCACCTGACTGAACAAGCGATAAGGGCACAAAGACAGTGTAACCTCTAACATGCTGTCTGAAATCATCTCCTAATGCAGATGTTATCAGACCAGCCAGAGACTGGCATGTATTGTGAATGCACTTAACTTTTACATCACCTCCCTATTCCCTAACGCTGCTCTTGACAACACATTCTCTCTCTCTCTCTCTCTCTCTCTCTCTCTCTCTCTCTCTCTCTCTCTCTCTCTCTCTTCTCATCACCACCCCCATTCAGCGACCTCACCGTCATCCCCCTCACACTCACCCACTCGCTCCCTCACTCTCAGATTGCACATACAGATATACAAACACACTCAGTCACACATGAGCCTATTTGAATTGCAAGTGAGCTCTGTTCACTACCAGGAGCAGGTAAACAGAAGGAAGAAGTGAAAAGAACGGGAGGAAGGGGGAGAAAAAAGAGTGACAGTGGGTAAACAAGAAGCGAAGAAAGCATACAGGCTTCACTGACCAGATGACATTCACAGAGTATTTAGCAGGACAAGCCTCCACGTGTGAAGGTCTCAGAGAGACGGAGGAAAAGAGTGTGGAGAGTGCCTTGGGAGCCTTGCACCACACCAAGGCACACTGGAGGTGGGACAGCCCTGAAGGAACACCTGAGCTCTGAAGAGACATCTCTTGAAGTAAGGGGTGAGCAGCACCTCATGGGAGACGGAATCAGTGGAACACCCAACAACAACCTGCTGTCGCTCCTCCTCTCCTCGCAACTGACTCTCACCCCCCTTCCTCCTCCTCCTCCTCCATCCTCTCTCCCTCTCTCATTTGATCCCATCCCTCACTCCCTGCACCAGAGAGGGAGAGCGTGCACAGAGAGAAGGTAAGGGGATGCATGCATGCATGTTGTCCTTGCAGAGCATGTGTGTGTGTGTGTGAGTGCGTGTGAGTGCGTCAGCGTTTCAGATTTCAACTGGTTGTGTAAGTCAGCAACTTGCTTCTTTGAGTTGTTTGTGTTTGTGTGTGTGTGTGTGTGTGTGTGTGTGTGTGTGTGTGTGTGTGTGTGTGTGTGTGTGTGTGTGTGTGTGTGTGTGTGTGTGTGT